CTTAGACACTTTTTCCTTCATAGTATCCGCGCGGTCCTAGGTGCTCTGCCTACCCTACATCTATACATACACCACGTTGGACAAGTAAGCTTTATCCATCCTACTTAGTATCTGTAATGTAGCAATGAACCGAAAGACTTAGAGCACGAATTAAGATCTGCTCTTTAACCTGAGTGAGCCTGGACGTATCCTCATCTTTGCGAAGGCTGGCTCACACTTCGTGCACTTTGGCTGCTCCACCTCGATCGTTGTCAGTCGATTTTCCTGTACTAAATCTTCATCATAGAATATGATTGTTCAAGATCAGTTATCCAAAATGCTGATACGTTTAACCAGTCTAAAACATCCTTTTTTGGTTATAAAGTGATGTGATGATGAACAAAACCCCAAAATCACTACCTTGTCAGTTTCCGAAGTTAATGCTGAACTTACTAGATCCACTGGATACACCCTTAGCCGAGGGCCCTCCCTCAAGTTTCCATACCTATCACGTTTGGTTCTCCTCGACCATTTAAGATTCTTTACACTGTGGTCCATCAGTCTTTGAGCTAAATACAAGTTTACAAAACGTAACCCCCAACCTTCGACTTTGCTTCTCTAGGGATCACTTGGAAAAGAGATATTTCGCTCACTGAAACTTTTAAACCCTGCATATATGTTCAATGAGTCCCGAATCAGTATGTCGTTGGAAACAACATCAGACAAATCAATGTATCCATCAAATAGCAGATAACAAAACATTTACGATTTGCTCGCGTTTTCAGTCTAATTTCCAGTCAAACTGATGGGCTTTACCGTGATAAAAGCTAATGAAGAACATCTGACAAGATTCATCCGTAATTAAGCTGAACCGATGAATTCTGGTTCAGCCGTTTATACGTAAATACACTGTTTTTCTTGTGCGTTGCTGCATTTCTCTTTGGCGTGATCAGTGAGGTTACCTTGCCAATATGTCTGAAAATATCAGCAAGGGTAACTCAAATAATTCCTAAGAATCGTCAGCGGGAAAATGGAGGACAAAACGATTTTTCGAAGCTTCGAGCGATGGTGTGACTGAAATCCTTGGAAAGCGATCGGAAAACCTTTAGACATAAAACAAAAACATAGTTTTTAGATTTACATGACGCCATTTAAAAGGTTGCTTCGAACCTTAAATTAGAAAAGCTTATTGAAATAGAGTGAGTTGAAAAATATGCGATATATCATGATAATATTTCTTTTATCCCCCTTGACGCGCAAGATGTAGATCTATACTTTTAAAACAAGCTGTATAAGGCTTAGCTCTAGGAAGACCTAATTTCCTTATCTGCCATTGCTTAAAGTTAATGGCTTGCTTTGTTGACAGAATGGAGTAAAGATATTCCGGTAAGTGATTTAGAAATGTTGTTTAAGAATTATTTATGCTTACCGGGATAAAGTATGTCAAGCGTTTGTTACTTCCTATTCTCTACAAACAGGCACAAATATCTCAAGTCGGTTCCTACAGTTTAGACCTAACACTTATAAATGTAGCGGTAAATTAATCCAAAAATAGGTAGTTGTCCAGGTCTTAGATATCGATGCTGAACTCGTTTATTTATGCAAAACATCACAAAAATGCTTGGTCAAACATTTGGCTCACATCACCATTTGGTTGGCCATGCTATACATACCTCGCAAAAACTTATGAGCCTAGATCTTATACTTCGAGACACATTGGATATCTAGCAAATATACCTTCGAACCAACTCCATCCCTGACTTCCGGTGTATCTGAGTATGAGAACTTTAATTACAAAGGTACGATGGAAAACAGAGATGTAAGACACTGAATTTTCCCGATATTTTCTGAACCTCATATTTCCCCATTTTTATGGTCAATAAAAGGATAGTCGGTTCAGTCAAGCGTCACCCTTTGTAACTAAAGAACTCATCGCGATTCCCAAATTATGACGAGGTTTGAATAATACCCAGAGCAAATCAAACAAAACGGCTCGGTCCCGTGGCTACCAAGGTTACTACTAATTATAGGTGAGAGACCAATGCCACGGTAACTAATGGTTTAGAATGACGACTGTTCTCTATAGGACTTATAAATTGGGCTTATAAAATATAGCATGAATACCAAATAAAAGGTCACATTTATTCGGCATTCTGGTTCTAGATAACCCAAGCAAAAAGCCTTCCGAAGTGCTCTTAGGCTTGCAAAAATACTGTAAAATAATTTCAAAGGATAGGGTGCATACTGAAATATGACTTAGTCGTTTCTATAAACATTACCTACGTAGTTGTATCTTTTTCCAGTTATTTTAATGAGAACCCATGTTTTACATAATGCCTGTGCGTTCAGTTGTTTCTAGCCATATATCACTGACATTATAACTGTAACAGTAGATGAAAGGGGTTTAAATAGTTGTTTATGATTAGATTAGATTGACAACAGTTTAATCATCCTTGGAAATTGCGCTTTGCTTTACTTTTAATTCTAATTTGACAAGTCATTGGTTTTATATTTAGTTAGTCTTCAGAGATAATAGACGAAATCATGAAATCAGACTCATTACTATTAAAGAATGCTTGATCATCGAAATAAACCTTTGTTCTATGTTGGTGTTTTCTTCTACTGAATGAGAATTTATTTAGATCTTAAGTTCTGTTTTAGTTGATAAATTTTATCTAAGTCATCATACACTGTTAAGCATTATGGAAGTAACATAATATTATCGCTTTTTTTCAGTATGCAGTTATTATATTAGGTTATTTAACGGATACCATAATTACCATCAGCGACAGCCCACTTGAGGAGAGAACAAACCAACTTCCAGCTAAAGAGGGAATTAGGAAAAGACGTTGGAGGTGGATAGGACATATATTATGAAAATCACCAAACTCCATCACGAAACAAGCTGTCCTGAAGGGACACGTAAATGAGAAAGGTTGAAGAACTCACTTCGTTGAAAAATGGAAGCAGATATGAAAAGGATGAATAACAACTGGAAATGTTTGCCGATGACAGTGTTCGTATGATCATGCTAGTAGGAGCCCAATGCTTTTCCACAAGTAGTGTAGTGTCAGTTATTATGGCACATATACCTTATTCCAACTTCCGGACATCCTATTTTATTCATTCTACTTGAGTAATATTTTGTTATTTATTCTTTCAGGTATGTGTGTACACTTCATGTCCCATGACTCATTGTATGTCTGTAGCTTATTTTGTCTGCCTATGAATACTGAGTAACGCTTAATTAAAATGGAGTTGGCTTCCTAGTCATCTTCCATACGTGTCAAAATTGCTTTGTTATGGCTCTCGCTCGCTTAGCATATGAGAATAGGTGATAACATAAGGCAAACGAGCCACTTCAGTAGTAACAGGCATAAGTGAGCAAATATGTAAGTATAATTAACATTACAAACAGTATTATTTATAGCACAGATTACAATTGGATATTGTAGGAGAAAAAACATTGCAAAACCAATACATTTCTTATAAGATTATCAACTAATATCAATCTTTTAGATGAATACTTGACTTGAATTGAACATTGTATTTCATTCATTTAAAGAAATTGTTATCATGAACATGACAAGACTACAGATTTTACTTAGATTTTTTCTTAATTTCATTCCTAATGTTATGTTCCTTATGAGAATTATGAATGGTAACTGTTAGAATCTATTTCTGGATTAATAATTTGTATATATATTGTCGTATAACACTAAGTAACTAAACTATTCGGGAGGCGAAACCCGACTCACACGTTTTCATCGTGCCTCCTGGCTAGTGGGGCTCAGTCTCATGAACTAACGTGAGCGGTAACCCGTGTGTTAGAGATTGGGCCTAATCACCCACTCGTCCGATACCCACAAAGAATCACAGCACAATTACTCCTGGATCGAAAAACGACAAAAAATCTACAAAAGTGGTGCATTTATTGTATGGGGTTGCTCCCTACAGGGCAAACTCCAACCGATTGCAAAAACGGCTATTCTAGCTTCAGTAGTTTTGCCGTGCTTTGATTTGGCCCGTTTCTATCCAGAAGAGTCTACTAGTCTTCCCCAACTTGTTTAACTGAAAGGGGCAACTGACCTATTCATATTCGTGTTCCTCTTATCATAAGCATTATTTTGATTTATAGACTATTATTATACAATTTACCGTTCTTGAGTTATGCCCAGTCTATTAGTTATAGTCTCCCATATTCACAGACACTTTTGGTCAGATCTTGTACAAATGTTGTTTTCTATTTTATGGTATTATGTGGTCTGTTTGGCTAGTATATAAGCCCAGTATGTTTGAAATATATGATTCATATCACAGATCCTGAGATCAGTATTCTGTATTCCGACAGGCTAAGTCAGGCAGGAAACGGAACCGGTAAAGACTCTAGACTGCTCTTATATGTTTTATGCGTCATTGATCCAGTCGATAATTCACTGTATCACTAATTGGTGATATCATTACGTTTATATTATTGATAAGGGTATAAACTCACAAGTTATAACATCTTCGAAATAAATTGCAAAGAAACAAAAAAACACACAACAAAATTGAATATGAATTCATTGAGTCACTTTAAGCATATAAGAATAACAACTTACACACACACACACACACACACACACAAAGTATCACATTAACATTCTTACACATGAACATACTGCAAAAACAGGCACTGAAATAACAAAAAAAACCAAAACAAGTCACTATTACATAATATCTATAAGCATATTTATCTTCAAATGATCCTAATAAGCATATAAAGAAGATCTGATCATTGTTTTTGTTTGTTGTCTTTTTTTTGGCTGGAACCTAATAAATGGATCATTTCAATCAATCAATCAGTCAATCAATCAATCAATCAATCAATCAATCAGTCAATCAATCAATCAATCAATCAACCAATCAAATGAACCATAATCAATGATAAGCAAAACAAACAAAACAGAATTTTCAATTGAATAATCTTATGAAGTAAACAACAAGCGAAAAAAAAGAAAAAAAAAAGAAGAAGAACCAATCACAACAACAACAACAACAGCAGAAAGTCTTCATAAGTTATCATCATCATCATTCACTTAATCAACGACACGAAATCAATAAAGAAGAAATTGCAAAAAACAAGACAAAAACATGAGTCCAAGTTCATTACTTATTCGAAAATAATACCATACTGTTTTGTTTTTTTTTACAATATTAAAATGGCGCTCGAAAAAAAATTACAAAAAAAACAGAAGTCGATTTCAAGAATTATGTAATAGTTATTTGTTGTTGTTGTTGTTGTTGTTGGGGGTGGAGGTGGTTTTGTTGTTGGTGGTGGTGGTGTTGTTGTTGTTGTTCTAATTTTTCAGGAAATCCACCCCATTTTACACCAATATATGGTATTTCAGATGACATAATACGTGGTGGTGCTTCAATTAAATATGTATAAACTAATGGTAATGATTGTGGTAATTCATTATTATTAATTGGTATTGCATATATATATAATTTATAAAAATGATCACCTTTTGGTATACGAATAAAATAGGTTAAATGTTCAGTTATATTTGGTTCTTCATTTTCATCCCATTGTTGTAAAAGATAATTTGTACAATCCTAAATAATAATAAAAATGATAATAATAATTGATTGATTCATTGTAGGTTATTATCAGAAGGGGTTTGTGGAGATTTAAGAAATTTCAAAGATTGAAATCATGAGTCAATTGAAGCTAGACCAGCATGAAAAAAACCTGGAAGCACTGGACGGTCTGTTTCGTCTCACCGTGGGATTCCTCAGCAGTGCGAGTCCACGATCCCGCACCACGCGAGATTCGAATCTGAGACCTATCAATCTCGCGCCAGGCGCTTAACCAACTAATAATTGAATTCATGGGTCAATTGAAGCTAGACCACTATGGAAAATGGCTCAGTGGTCTAGAGGTTAAGCGCTCGCGTGCGAGACTGATAGGTCCTGGGTTGAGTAGGAGTCCGATACTAGGACGAAACAGCCGTCCAGTGATTCCAGGTTTTCCATGGTGGTCTAGCTTAAATTGACTCATGATTTCAATCATTGTAGATTAGTTAAGACACTCAACTGTGTCACAAGATCAACCCTTATTTGGGATCCTCAAAGTCAAATGAGGAGAAGAGGAAGACTAAAGAATATATAACACTTGAGAAATGGAAACAGACATGAGAAGAATGAACATTAACTGGATAGAACTAGAAAGGAAGGCGGAGGATAGAATGGGTTGGAGAATACTGGTTGGGGGACTATGTTCCATCAGGAGTAACAGGTGTAAGTAAGTAAGATTAGTTAATAATTCAGTCTATTTTAAATTTTCTTATCAGACTATAAAGTGCCTAAGATTACAATCATTAGCATAATTAACATCGTTGGATGTCTACTCAGTAGTTTAGAGATTAAGCGTTCGATAACGAGACCGACAAATTTTGAGTTCGAATCCCGCGGGTGGAATTGTGGATGCGCACTGTTGATGAGTCTTACAATAGAGCGAGACATCTGTCTAGTGATTTTAAGTTTTCAATGATGGTCTAACATTAATCGGATCATGATCTCAATCTTAAAATGAAGAGTTGATGTATATTATTAAGTGAATTCAATACGAATGTTTGAAAGATATCTGTGAAGATGGTCCACAGATGAACTCAAGGAAGCTTTAATAAGTTCAGGAAGAGCTAAAAACTTTACATTCAATCATCTGTTTTTCTGGAAGAATATTCCAAAATCTCGACGTATAGCTTCTTTATGAGACAAATGCTAACAACTCTCTGAATGCAGATTGGATGACTATAATGATAATTTCATATTTACTAAAAACTAAAAATACCTGACAGTTCTATACCATAGATGACACTGTTTGGAATAGTATTCCTTCTAATTTATCTTCTATCTTCTCATTTGCACCCTAGAAGGTTCTGATATTCCAATGCTCAAGTTGTACGTGGTATATGAAAAATCTAAGCCCTAGATATAATAATATCATATTAAATACACGGAGGATCTGATGCAGCTGTGAAGGTGCGGATCGGAAAAGCAAGAGCAGCATATTTATAACTGAAGAACATCTGGAACTCAAAACAACTGTCAACCAACACCAAGGTCAGGATTTTCAATACAAATGTCAAGGCAGTTCTATTGTAAAAGGCGGAAACCTGGTGAACTACGAAAGCCATCATCCAGAAAATACAGGTGTTTATTAACAGCTGCCTACGCAAAATACTTCGGATCCGTTGGCCTGACACTATTAGCAACAACCTACTCTGGGAGAGAACAAACCAGATCCCAGTGGACGAAGAAATTAGGAAGAAGCGCCGGAAGTGGATAGGACACACATTGAAGAAAGCACCCAACTGCGTCACAAGACAAGGCCTCACTTGGAATTCTCAAGGCCGAAGTAAAAGACGAAGAACAAAGAACACATTATGCCGGGAAATGGGGATAGACATGAGAAAAATGAACAAGAATTGGATGGAACTAGAAAGAAAGGCCCAGGACAGAGTGGTTTGGAGAATGCTGGTCGGCGGCCTATGCTCCATTAGGAGTAACAGGCGTAAGTAAGTAAGTAAGTAAGTAAAACGTATAAAGTTCAAACTGGTGTTCATGGATGTGTTGAAATAAACGGGCGATGGGTACAATAAGAGTGGACACTGACTAAGTATACAACTTTGAAGAGGTAATTACAATCAATTATCTCAGTTCTAACTTGTATGTATACTGACTTACTATCTAGACTGTAGCCAACATCATTATGAACCAATCGATCATTGTATTTTATCACAAATGTTAGTAGCGAGACTATAATTTGTGAACGAACAAATCAGATTTTAGATAACGATTCTTGGATTTGAGCGCGAAATTCACTCATTCATTCATCTATCCAAATAGCATCTTGGCAGTTTAGCTGATGTTAATTCATGATGAAAACCATAAATCTAATTTTTAACCTTAACCATCAATTGTAAATCATCGTCTTTATTCTTCAAACTCTTTTATAACCTTTATTTAGATTTATCAAATAGGTAGACACTGTCAAAGTCGATTTGGCATCGCTTGAAAGTTATCCATACATTGTAGTATCACTATGTTGGTAACTATATCGCTTTATATGGATAGTAAGTTTCATGCCTTATGTTCTTTCCAACACATAATTGAAAATTAATTTTTGAAGAGTTCTACAGTAGGACAAAACAGTCATTCAGCGCTTCCAGGCTTTCAATAACGGTCTAATGTCAATCGATTCCTGAACTCAGTAAAACAAAATTGAAATTGATTTAATATAGTATCTTTCATCTCCTTATATTCATTATGATTTTCTGATCCCATTCGTACACCCATATTGAATTCATTTAATCAATTAGATCAATTCTATGTTTCTAATTATATTAATAATTGTAATCTTAAGCCGTTTCCAGCTAATGAGAAGACTTGAAATAGAGTGAATTTATTTTATAGTTGAATTTATGAGTTGATTAAAGCTAGACAACCATGAAAAACCTGGATTCATTGGACGGCCGTTTCGTCCTAGTATGGGACTCTTCAACTGTCCCAGTGATCAGTAAGTGTAGTTTACTGTATTTATTTCTATTAGGCTTATGTTCACCTGTTATTATGAGGTTAACTGAACTAAAAGTGAATACATGATTTATCCATCTAAGACCAACAGCCTACTCTATGAACCTCAAATCTTATTAGTTCGTCCTGACACTTGTCCTATTACCGTCTGTGTAATTCTCCCTTCTACAACTGGGTTGTTGGTTCGAGAACCTAATTTCTGCTTTAAAAAAATAGGCACATGAACCGATAAAAAATGACAACACTAACCTCTTCCTCTGGTGTACTTATATCTACAAACTGTCCAACGACATAAAGTTTTTGTTGAGATTCTTTGGAAATTCTTATTTTCAAATCACAACTACGTGGATCTTGTACTTCATCATCTATTTCATTCGTTTGATCTGGTGATGTTGTAGGAACTATTAATGAATCATTTGTAGATACACCATTCATAATTTTATCTCCTTGACTCATATACTGACTCATAATTTCTGATTTACTTCGAGTTTTTCGTAATTCAATAGAACCAGCTGTTGGAACATGAATTAAAGGATCATCATGACTAAGTAATTTTAAACCTAATGTAGACCATGTTTCATCTTGAGGACCTAGATTCATTGTAGCTAAACGTTTTCTAACTGGAGTAGATAATCGAACTCCATATTCAGAATTGATTAAAAACTGCCAAACCTGTAAGATTATTTAAAGAAAAAAATAGAAATTATATGAAATAGTAAACGATAAGTGGAGTTATAATGACATTTCAAATCATGGGGAGCAATTGTAAGCAAGATTGATATATTGGTGAGACTATAATTTATGGACGAGCTTTGAGCGACGCTGAAGTGACCATGTGAGTGAACGATTAATAATTAGAACTAAATGAGGGTTATAAAGCAGTCAGAATTCCCATTTACAGTTGATGATTAAGGTTTAAAATTAGATTTAGGGTTTTCATCACGAACTGACATCAGTTATAATGTCAACACTCTATTTAGCCAAATGTATGGATGAATTCCGCGCCCAAATTTGTGACTCGTTATCTTTTATCTGATTGGTTCGTTCATAGATTATAGTCTTGCCGATATATTTACGAACTTTTGTTGTATATTTTATACTACTTATAAGTAGTTCAAAACTATAATCGACTGAAACGCAGTCGTGGAATGTGGAATTCAACAACACTAAAATACTAGTCTTTTAAGTACCATAACGTAATGGTTAAATAACAATTAGATAGACATTAGGTCGATTACTGTAAGCTAACAAATATTCTGAAAATAACAGAGAACAAATGATAAGTTATTAGTTGTATTACTTAAGAATACATACTTACATCTTACAAAAACCATCAATTCTTTCAATAATGAAGAAAATTGGTAGCTTAGAGATGAATAAATACTGCCCATTTGAACTATTCAACTAAACAAGATGCCATATTTATTTTTGGAGTTTGACAACACCTCAACTATTAACATCTTCTATGATAGAAATGTGTCAACCCAGTGAAATTAGAAGTTAGAAGCGAAGGAATTCAAAGATATATTAAGATAGACTATTGGTATATTGAGAAGTGAATGATCTAAGCTAGCTAGCGGTTGTAGGAGTAATTAAGCACAGTGTACTCACTCGTGATCTAATGAGGATGTGTGACCAAGTGCCTTCAGCTAGGTGAGTCCATTAAAACAAATGTGATCAGCATCAAATGTTGAAGATTTATAGAGCTATTGATTTTGGGGATTTGTTTACCGTTACAAATGAAACCAAAATACAAATCTGTTAACAGATTTCTTATAAATACAATGTATAAACTTTCAATATTCTTAATCAAAGATGGATAGTGGCTAGCAGTGGAATTCAGGACCCGCGTTTCGTCCTATTTGACATACAGCTCTCTGTCCCAAAGTGAACTGTCACATCCACTATTCGTTGCTTTAGTTACTGCTAGCCACTATCCATCTTTGCTTAAAGAGTTTATGACTTAAGGCTGTATCGAGGCAGTCCCCACAGGATGCACATACACCAACACGGGACTGATCAGTTGCAGTCCTAAATAACAGTGGGAAGATATAAGTAAAACAAACCCGACCGTTGTTGCTGCCTTGATGTGGTGGTCGCACTTGCCTATCGTGATGAAGCAACAGAGCTATACTGGCTGGAACAACCGTTCCTCAAGGTCCTACCATCTTAGACAGGTCGGTTCAAGAGCGATAAAACTAAAATCCACAAACCCAAGGTCCGAAGGCGAAGTCGTACTGTTGGCTTTACAAAGATGTGAAGGCAATAAGGTGTTTCCTTCAGACAACCAGTATGACAGCGATGCTGCCTTCCCACAAGGAGGGATGAGTTCAGAAAAGGTCGACCCTGAAAATGCACACCTCGCCTTATCTCGCAGATATCCGTACGGAGTTTGTTTTATCCGAGCGAAGATTACATTACGAGTAACTTCTGAGACATATTAATTGACTAATATTATTTATATATTCTTATGGTATGAATATTCAGTAACAAGGTTATGTATATCTATATTCCCCTTGTTATAAGCTTTATTTAGATCTATAATTTATGGTTATACGATTTACTATTCATAAGCTATGTTCAGTTTATTGACTACTGTCTATCACGTTTACAGTCATTTTTTGGCTGTATTGTGTACAAATGTTATTTCCTATTTTATGGTGCGTTGCGGTCTGTTTGTTTGATATATAAACCCAGTATGTCTGAAATAAATGATTCGATTCGATTCGCATAGTGAAAGCTGGTATTGGTGTTCTGGACTCAAGTGGACGGACTAGGCGGACATAGAACCAATATGGACGCCAGGCTGCTCATACCGGTCGAACGTCATTGGTTTGGCACAGTGCTAAGACTGTATAAGTCGTATTTTGATTGGTGGATAAATCATGTGATTACTAGCCGGACATAAAGTCATAACAGAGCTAACACGAAAATTACTCATAAAAAGGTCGTGTGTGACCGACCTCAAGCAGTTATCTCTTGTGAACTGGGGTCACGCTCTCAGGTCACTAAGACCACCTCTAACCCAATTTCCTTTTCAGGTGCCTCCAGAAGAACACTTCCAGAGTGTGTACAACCGGGAAGTGATAACCGCCCTCATACCTCTAACAGCACTCAAGACCACTGAGTAAAACAAAAAGTAATTGGATAACTCTCCCTTACGAATTTGGAACCTCTCATTAATGACAAATCAAGACTACTATACAGTTAAATAAATCACAAATGAATACTCAAATAATCTTACCAAGAAATATGAAGTATTTTCATCTGAATCAGCTGGTGCACCATAAACTTCTAATGCATATTCACCACCTGTTGGTAAATATGCTGTCAATATTATCATATTAATACGTGATCCTTGTATAGTTTGTGTACCAGATAAACGATTTGTTGCAGAAATTAAACTACCCGATGAAGTTGCTTCAATATTACGCAATAGTATACAATCAGTAAGCATTGATGTTTCATGAATTGATGATTTTAAACGTGCAGTTAAACGTGGAAGCTTGCGTTGCTGAAAGCAATGAACAGGGGAAAGAAAGATGAAAGTATAACATAATAAAACGTCAAACTCTCCAGATTTTTATCAGAAGGGGTTATGTGGATATTATAGTAATCTAAATAGTTGGAATCATGAGTCAATTGAAACTAGATCACCTGGAACCACTGAAGGCCCTTTAGTTCTACTATAAGACTCCTCAGCAGTACGCATCCACGATCGCGCGCGAGAGTGATAGGTCCTGGACTCGAACCTCGCGTGGCGGGGTTGTGGATGCGCACTACTGAGGAGTCCTACAGTAGGATGAAACAGTCGTCTAGTGCTTCCAGGTTTTCTATGGTGGTCTAGCTTCAATTGATTCATGATTTCAACTATTGAAATCTTTAGGTTTTTATCAACACTCTTCTATAAGTTGCTTTGTTTAACACAGAACAAAATGGTAGTAGAAAATATTGTTCCCTTATCAAATCCCGACTAAACCATGAGAAGAAAATATGACAGACTATCTACATTCATAGTTGTGTTAACTGAGTACAAAAATAGATAGTTATTTATATTGGTTAAAAATGACTTATTACCAATCATTATGGAATGGTAGATGGATACCACTATAGAGCTTCACACTAGGGAAATATGACTGTCTAGTGTTCCTTGATGTACAACCGGTGTATAATTAAAATCATTCTATGAAAAAAGGTATAATTAATTAACATCAGAGAGGGGTTTTTGTAGATATTGTAGTAATCTAATAGTTGAATTCATGAGCCAATTAAAGCTAGATCACCATGGAAAACTTAGAAGTACTGGAATGTCATTTCGTCCTAATATAGGACTCCTCAACAGTGCGCATTTACAATCCCACTCGCAGGAGTCGAACCTAGAATCTATCAGTCTCATACGCGAATGTTTAACTTTCAGATCACTGAGCCGTCTAACCTCAAACAATCCATGAAATTACGCCATCCTATAGAAGTTCGGCGTTCGTGAGTGAGACAGATAGGTAATGAATTTAAATCTTACGAGGCGAGATCGTGGATACGCACTGCTTCATAGGACGGAACAGTTATCCAATGCTCTTCGGTCCTCCATGTTGGTCTAACTTCAATCGACTCATGAATTCAACTATTAAATTGATTAAAAACAGAATAAAAAAAACTACTAACAACAACAATGACTAACATTACTTACTGGATCTTTAGTTGTAAATTTAATTTCTAATATTCCAGTATGACAATTTAAGTGAGTTTCTAAATCTTCTGGTATAGTAATAATATCTAATTCTTTAGCTTTTTCAGCTGGGCCATAATGTCCTTGTGATGTTGGAGGAAATGGTAAAATTGTAAGAGCTGGTTTTGAAGTATCATTATCATTATTATTATTGATAGTAGTAGTAGTACTAGTATCCATAACAACCGGTTCTGTTTGTTGTAAATCGGTACTCATTTTTGATTCTACACGATATTCACATATATCTGCAAATAACTAATGTTTATAAAAATAAATCAATAAATCAATCAATCGATCAAGGGATATAAATATTAATTAACGAACTATTTAAGTAATAATCATGTACTTACTAGTGACTAGCCCTCAAATGCCCTGTTACGATCGATGGTGGGGAAAATCCGCACATACACACACACACACTCACTCGAAATACTCTCACATGACCATGCGTTAACAGCCACTGACAGGGAAATCCTACTTGCTGCCTTCTCACATCGGCAGTGTTGTCTACGGTTTAATCGGGTTAGTGGACATGGAAGATCCATCTAAGGGAGTTTAAAAACCCTTATTCCAAACTAATGGTGCACATGAACTTCAGGATCCTGAGGAAACAAAAGGTGTATGATTCTATTGTGAGTCACCAGCTACCATGAGACTGAATCTTTTGACGTTGCTCCAATGCCTTGTAGATCAAACCATTAGATCGAAGGCTCCGAGTGTGGCCCTCTAAGAAAACCACTTGATTCTGTAGTTATTGATTACAATTACTTGTATATGATCAAGAATGATTATTCTTAGACAATCTCAAAATAAATCAAACTAACGATTTGATTTTAGCCCTTAACGATAATTAATTTCAACAAATGAAAAGATCTTCATTCATAAGATTCAGTAGTTATCACATGTAGAATTTCTGATTGGCTGATTACTATACTGCTACTATGCTTAGTAGCATTCCAGAATTTTCGGGAAACCCAGGAACATCTGAAATACTATAAAAAAACCCTATACTTTCTGTACTAAAACTAACCTTTGGAGTAAAGTGCTTCTTGCATATTTTACGCCTTTTCTCTTGTGTTCCGGTCACTGTGTAGTTCTAGCTTGGGGGTTATAAGAATAGCTTGGGAACCGAATATAGCGTTCAATTAACAAGACTTATCACAATACGAACGTCAAGACAATTCTACTGTACGGAGTTGAAACTTGGAGAACTACTACAACTACTGTCAAGAAGATACAAGTATTTATGAACAATTATCTACGCAAGATGTTCAATATCCGTTTACTGGATACCATCATCAACAACCTACTGTGGGATAGAGAAGAAACAAGCTTAGAGCTGAAGAGGAAATTAACAAAAGATGTTGGAGGTGGATAGGACAAACATTAAAGAAATCAACAAATTGCATCACGAAGCAAGCGCTAACTTTAAATCTTGAATGGAAACAGAGAAGAGAAAGGCCAAATAACACACTACGTCGTTAATTGGAATCAGACATGAAAAGAATACATAACAACTGGAAAGAACTGGGAAGGAATACCCAGGACAATGTTGGATGGAGAATGCTGATGGATGGTCTATGCTCCTTCATCAATGGTAACAGTCGTAAGTAAGTAAAGTATGTTTGATTTTTGATAGATAATACATAGATATAGTTTTCTATTCACAATTTTTTTTCAAGCTTACCTTTTCACCAATACGTTGTGCATATAAAGTAAGCTTATAACCTCCAGGTTTTGGGAAACGAAAATGAAATGTAACCGTTGCATCACGTCTTGATAATTCATGTATTCCAAATTGACTTAGATTTGGTAACTTTATTGAAATTATAAAAAGAAAAACAAGTTAAAATAGTTCATAACATGAAGAAGAGATCGATACGAACTTAAGTAACTGTTATAACTTGTGGTTTTGTACCCATGGTTCTTTGTTTTTCACTACGTCACCAATCGTTATAACATGTGACCAATGTACCCTGTTAATGTATAACGTATTAGAAACGTGGAAGCATCTCTATACTGGTCATTACCATGTTCTCACTAGTAACTAACTCTGAAAAGATATTTACTGAGCTTCAATGAAAAGTAATGATCAATAGATTTCAGCCGTGTTTTGTACGAGGCACTCACTGAAGACAATGGGAGAGGGTTAAGTAATATTGTGAATTGACTGAGGTTGAACATGTACATCACCGGATAGAGGCTTATTAATCTAAACGTTAAGATATCGTAGCAATATTTAAAGGCCTTAGGTTTGATCCCTGGTGAAGTCGTGGAAGCGCATTACCCAGGAGATGAAACAGCTATCAAGTACTCCCAGATTTGCAGTGGTTGTCTTACTTTGATTTATGTTCAACAATCTCCACAGACCTTCATATAGATATTTAAATGCCGATAAGATTATTATCTCAAGTCTGCTTGAATCAACTTGGATGATGTTGAAGTAGATAGATATCCAACCAAGGCAAATGTTTCTTTTTCAATTTAAGCCATATGTATACACTCTCTATCTTCGCTTAAACTATGAGATTAAGATCGCTTCATATCTTTATTTCTACGAAATAATTCTCTCTTCCTGTACTATATTCTTATATGCAATCTCTCTTTTATATATATTGTCACCACAGAATGAACTACTTCTATGAATCCGGTGTTCATGTTTTTGTGCTAATGGAGTATGACAAGTTGGACCGATGTATAGATGTGCCTGGTCCGACTGATTGATTGACTGACATGCATAAAGTATCATCTGTAGAAATGGTAAGAGAAAAGCAACCTTTTATACAAGGAAAGAATATAAATAAATATATGTAAATGAATAAGCACATATTCTTACATCTAGATTATCATCCTTCCCTTCATATTTTAAATTGAATGTAAATTTCAATGTATCCGTTAAAGTTTTTGGCATGGATAATTTTATAACAAGTTTATTTGGTGCAAGTATAACACAATCTTGATGTGATAGTAATCCAAGACCATGACGGAAGAAAGCTGGTTTCAATAGAACACTGTTTTCAAATTCCTAGATTAAAAAACACACACACACACAAAACATTTGATGTCTTTGGATATAAACTACTATTACAGTATTTCAGTAGTTTAAAAACAATTGCAAAACAATATTACAAATTGGTGAGTATGGAATTATGTAATATGAAGAAAGATTCACCCGATTGCACAAGCAAGTGGCTATCAGAACTCAGTAGCTAAGCGGTGGCGTTTAAAGCGACTGGTACTGTGTTCGAACCCCAGAATGAACATCAACCCTGATATTCAGGTACGTCCAGTTAACGAGTACAATAATAGGATGAAGCGCATTTTGTCCTGGATTCCACAGCTGAACACTATCCATCTTCGCTTATAAGGCTTATGATTTAAGACGATATCAAGGCAATCCGTACAGGATGCACACATGGCAATAAGAGACTAATTAATTGTAGATACAAGCAAACAACACAAGTGAATTGCAACAAAGTTTGTTCACACTTACATTTCTTTCAACTATCTTCATAATTATGATACACAAAGAACATGCCCATAGATGCATATAGATATTTAAAGTAATGACGGAGAGTTTCACACTTTCATCTTTTCTTTTTTTCACAGTTACGTCATAAACGGATGGAAGATTAACAAAAAGATATGCGACAATGATGCAATGAACGAACGATTCTTCATTTAGAATATTCCTTTATTTGTGTACTTTGGTCTACGAAAAATTATTTTATCGAATATCTTAATAGTTAAATATAAATTGATATGACTTAGATCACCATTGAAAACCTGGAAGCATTGAATGGTTGTTTCGTCTTAGTTTGGGACACCTCAACATGCACATCTACGATCCCGCTTGTGGGATTCGTACTCAAGATCTTAGGTCTCACGAGCGAACGCCTAACCTTTAGACAGTCGTCCAAGTTTTTTTGATGGTTAGCTTTAATCGACTCATGAATTCACTAGTAAACATACTACAACCTCTACAAAACCCCTTTTCTGTTGATAAAAACTTGTTATACCGCTATGTTTCCGTACACCATAGTCAATAAATTCATATAACAATATTGGATTCTGTTTTACACATGTGAGATTATAATGAGTGATGCTAGACTGACCTTAAGAGTGTCCACTTATACTAGATCAAATGAGGACTATAAACCAGTGTTTACGACTGATGATTCGGCTTAAGAGTTGAAGTTAAGGTTTTCATCACGAACCGACACATTTACTATAATGTCAAACTATTTTCAATGGATGAATGATTTCGCGCCAAAATTCAAGTCCTATTATCTTATACCTGACTGGTTCATCTTAAATCATAGTCTAGCTAACATATTATATAGTAAATGAAATCCAAGATGTATATTTTTGGAACTTGTCAATTGAATACATCTTGTCAATCTTGAATGCTACTAGAGGTATGAGGGCGATTACTGTCAACTGAATACATCTAAATTCCAGTGTTTTTATATTCACTGTATTCTCAACATCTTAGTTCAGCTATGTGTATGTTGAACAGATTTGTTCAAACATGATAGTTTAATTGAATCAGTTGTTTTGGATATATGAAACTGTAATCAATTTCAAGTACATTTGACTCAAAAAAAAAAAGAATAGAAAAGAAAAAAAAGAAGGGAAAAAGGGTAGAAAAGAAAGGAAAAAGAACAGAAAAGAGAAAAGAAAAAGAGTGGAAAGGAAAGGAAAAAGAATAGAAAAAAGTAGAAAAGAGAAAAGAAAGAAAAGGAAAAGGAATAGAATGGAAAGAGCAGAAAACAAAGGAAAAAGAATCGAAAAGAAAAGAATAAAGAAACGAAAAGAGAGAAGAGTAAAAAGAAAAGAAGAAAGAAAAGAGCAGAAAAGAGAAGAGGAGAGAAAAGTGAAAAGGAAAAGAGGAGAGAAAGGGAAAAGAAAAGAAAAAGGGTCGGAGAGAAAAGAGAAAACAGAAAAGAAAAGAAAGGAAAAAAGAATAAAAAGGAAAGAAAAGGAAAGAAAAAGAGTAGAAAAGAGAAAATAATAGAAAAGAAAAAAGGATAGAAAAGAAAAGAGAAAACCGAAAACAAAAGAAACGCAAAACGAGAAAAAGACACATACTTACCTTTAATGTAACTGGTGGTTTTAACATTTGCCAATTTTCATCAAATGGATAATGTGAATAAATAAATTTAGCTGGATCAACATTAAAATAAAACATATCCGTTTCATAATCCATTTGACCAGTTTGTACTAATTGGGATAAACGTGTATTAGCACTAACAGCTAAACGTTGCGCTGCCCACATTGGATCAAATAATGCCCATTTATTATCTAAATAAGCAGCATTCCATGCATGTTGTAATCGATGCATAATTGATGATGATGCCGATGATGATGATGATTGTTGTTGTTGTTGTAATTGATCATTTATATCATTTAAACGCATACCAACTACATAATCAACACCTTTAGCTAAACCTTTCACTGTTACACATGGTATATTTGAATAATGACATAATGATTCAAAAGCCTTTCAAAAGAAGAAGAACGAGAAGAAGCAAATATTTGATTATTTAATTAAATAAATTGTATTCATTAAAACGAATTCTGTATACATAGTGATATTGCAACGTGTGCTACTGCCTCCAAATACCCTGGTACGGCTGAGAGTAGGGAGAGTCCTCTCACCCTCTCTAAATGCTCTCTACATGGTCACGCGTATATAGCCTCTGCAAGGGAAGTCCTACTCAATGCCTTCTCGTGGCATTAATGTTGTTTACGAAATGAACAGGACGAAAAGCGAATGTCCGGCGCTTTAGCCGGGTTGGTGGACATGGAGAGTTCGCCTAGGGGAGTTGGAAAACCGTGACTCCAAACCAACGGTAAACATGGGCTCCAGTATCCTGAGGGAACAAATGGCGTATGAACCAATTGTTGGTCACCGGTTACCATTGGATTACATCTCCTTACGTTGCTCCACTGCCTTGTGGATCAGACCTTCAAATCGAAGGCTCGGGGAGTGGCTCCCTGAGAAAACCACCTACTTCGGTTTGGGCACCCGAGCAGTATCACATCCCTCACACATATCAAATGAGATTTGCGTGGCGCACATGTATTTGGTGCCCCCTTGCACCAATATCTATGTGTTAAAATAAATAAATAATAAATAGTATATATCATTAATCGTAAGTGAAATGCTTGAAGGTAGAAGGTTAATAAGATCAAAGAGAAGAGAATGATAACAAAAAAAGGAGTGAGTAGTGTGGAACTGAAAGAACAATGAAGTCTGAGACCATTGATTGATATTTTTTGCAAACGAAGTACTTACTGTATCATTCTCAGATTTTACTATGATGCTTTGTAACTTTATATTCAAATACATTCGACTGTCTTTACCTGTGTTCCACTTCACTACAACATAATTTCAATGGATTAACATATATTGTGTTTTGCTTTTTAACTTAATCATTATCGTGTTCCTATGACCTGAACCGTTCAACTTTTCGCAGACAGGAAACTAAGACTATATGAAAAGCCTCAATTTCATACGCCAAATAATTATTCTTTATTTATTATTATATTATTTTAACACATAGATATTGGTGCAAGGGGGCACCAAATACATATGCGACACACAAATCTCATTTGATATGTGTGAGAGCTGTGATACTGCCCGGGTGCCCAAACCGAAGCAGATGGTGTTATTAGGGGGCCACACTCGGAGCCTTCGATTTGAAGGTCTGATCCACAAGGCAGTGGAGCAACGTAAGGAGATGTAATCCAATGGTAACCGGTGACCAACGATCGGTTCATACGCCATTTTTTTCCGCAGGATACTGGAGCCCATGTACATCACTGGTTTGAAATGAGGGTTTTCTAACTCTCTTAGGTAGACCATCCATATCCATGTGCCCGGTTGAAGCGCCGGATATTCGCTTTTCGTCCTCTCGATTTTGTAAACAACACCCTTGCCACGAGAAGGCAGTGAGTAGGACTTCCCTGACATGTGAGAGCATTTCGAGAGAATGGAGCTGACTCTTCCCACCCTTGGCCGTACCAAGGGGCATTTGAGGGCAATGTGAATTTAGAAAAGATAAACAAAATAACTTACTTGAAGATATGTTGCTTTACCATATGACATTTCATTTAATATAAATTCTGGTGAATCTAATTTTAATTTTTTCGATTTATTCTTTATAGCTTCTTTAGCATATTGTATATCATCTTGTTCAGCTTGTTGTAATTCATCATAAGTTAAAAATGGTATAGAACCAACTGGTATTGAACATAACCATGAAAATAATGCTTTAACTTTTAATTCATCATTCATGAGATTACGTTTACCAATTAATGACCAATATAAATCTTTCCATGTTGCTGGTTTACTATGACTTCTAGCTAATTCACGTGCTATTGTATCAACAGGTTGAGCAATATGATTATCATCTAATGTTGATTTATTAATAATCAATTGTTTAGTAAATGTTGATGGATCTAATGTTGGTTTAATTGAATTTGATGAAATATTCATTGTAGGTGACATAGATAATGGTTTAGGTAATTCATAATTAGATGGTGCTGGTTCTAAGATAGATATATGAGATCGTAGTTTAATTGTTTCATTATCATTGGGTACAATATGATTATTGATTGAATCGTCAGTTGTTATAGGGGGTTCAGATTTATCTAAGTATAGAAAAAAAAAGAATGCAAAAGATGAAGTTCAGAAGATGTTCTTGGACACTATTGTAAGAATATAAAGTAACAAAAAAGGTTAAATAGATGGATTTGAGGGTGAATCATAGAAGTATGTAGATCTATAGTTGATTGTATTGTTTGATCCAATCAAGTAAGAGTATGATTCAATCTTGTAGATTAGCTTAATGAATGAACACAATATTGACACTAACCTCATATGAAATTAAACTACTAACTGTTCTTCAGTAGAAGGTAATTGACAACCGGGGACTTATTTATTTACTTACTTACTTACTTATGCCTCTTACTCCTCGGGAAGGAACATAGGCCGCCTTGTCATAGGCGATCCTTTGCGGTTCTTTCCTGTTGTTATTCATTCTATTCATATCTGCTTCTATTTCCCAACGTAATGTGTACTTTGGCCTTCTACTTTTCTGTTTCCCTTCAGGAGTCTAAGTTAGGGCTTGCCTCGTGATGCAGTTTAGTGATTTTAGTAATGTATGTTCTATCCACTTCCAATGTCGTTTCCTAATTTCCTCTTCATTTCGAGGCTGGTTTGTCATCTCCCACACTAGGCTGTTGCTGATTTTATCCAACCAATGGATGTTGGGTGTCTTGCGTAGACAACTATGTATTTCGTGGATTAGTTGAAGTTAGACATTAACACCATTGGGTGCCGCCTCAGTGGTCTAGTTGGTTAGGCGTCTGGCGCGAGACTGATAGGTCCTGTGTTCGAGTCTCGCAAGGTGCGGGGTAATGGGTGAGCGCCGCTGAGGAGTCCCGCTCTGGGACAAAACGGCCGTCCAGTGCTCCCAGGTTTTCCATGGTGGTCGAGCTTCAATTGACTCATGATTTCAATCTGTGAAATTTCTAAAATCTCCACAAACCCCTTCTGATGTGTTTTTTGATGATGATTGTAGTAGTTCTCCAATTTTCACCTTTGTACAGTATATCTGTCTTGATGTTCGTATTGAATATTGTGACTTTGATATTGGTTGAAAGTTGTTTTGAGTTCTATATGTTGTTCAAGTATAGGAATGCTGTCTTTGCTTTCCCAATCCTCTCCTTTATGTCTGCGAATACCCCGGAGCGCTAGGTAAATTCTTCTTGCTAGTACGGAATTCCACAGTAGTGCATATGTGAGTCCGCACTACAGAACTGATTCAACACCTTTGTCTCTCATGTTAAGTACTTAAACTTTTGACCAATGATTAAGCATTTGTGATATTTATCTATAGGGTATCGTGATCTTCACTGGTTGCATAACCAGAATCAATCCATGAATTTGACCACTAAACTCAACAATCTCTACAAGATGTTCATATTGAGATCTGTTTTTTTCCAAATTATTTACTTAGTTAAGCTATAGAGAATAAAGACAAGAACCACAGTCAAATTGATAATCATCAGTAAAAGGTTATGGAGATTGTTCAGTTTTTGATTGAGATCATGAATCGATTGATGTTATACCACCATCGTGAACCTGGAAGCACTGGACGACCATTTCGTCCATATATGGGGATCCTCAGCGGGGCACACAAGATGCAAAACCAAAATCTTCTGTTTCGTGCGTAAACGCTTAATCTATAAATAACTGAGCCGGCATCCAACAGTGTTAATGTCTAGCTTCAGTATTGTCAGTGTGTGCACTCTGGTTGTTGAGTACACAAAATGACACTTGTAGATAACGACACGATGCAAATAATCAAACCTATAAGATGGTCTGTACGCTCTCCAAACATCCGCATATATTGTAGTACCCAGCTGCAGCCAGTGTTACTGGTGCTTTTATTATCCAGTTCGCAATAATCATCATAATTTGCCTCAGTTAGGATTTATATATAGGGTTTTTGTTACGAACTGACATTAGCTATAATGCCAGAAATCTATTTAGCCAAATGGATGAAAGGCTTTCCCACCAAAATCCGAGATCTGTTATCTTATACCTCATTGATTCGTTCACAAATTATAGTCTAGCTGTTTTATTTGTTATAGCCGCTCAATTATCACGTTTTGCACAAAATCTCTTATGAACCGATTGTTCGTTAGCATCAGGCACTGAATTTGGCGCCATGACCTTGAACTATCTCAAATGCTCCTGATTGTCTCGTCAGTCACCATTTAGATATAATGTCTAACCTAGTTCTTATTCATAATAAATCTCCATCTAGTCGTTTATCCTTTCAAATTTGAATCTTGTCATATCAACTTATGTTCGGTTATAACATTCACAATGTCATAGTTGATGTAAAATCCCAGCTATTGTGTTACTCTAATCTATCGACATTATAATTAACCTATCTTACCTTCGATGAGACTATAATTTATGAACGAACCAATCAGATTTAAGATAATGAATCTTGGATTTTGGCGCGAAATTCATTCATCCATTTGGCCAAATAACATTTTGGCATTATAGTTTATGTCAGTTTGTGATGAAAACCCTAAATGTAACCTTAATCACCAATTATAAATCATAATTCTAATTCCTCACATTGGTTTATAACCGTTATTTAGTCCTAGTTATTAAGTGGACACTCTCATTATCACTTTAACATCTCTCAAAGTCGTTCATCAATGATAGTATGACCATGTAATCATTCAGTCTACTGTCATTATTTATCATACTTCAGCATAAATATGGCCTTAGAACAGTCAATTATAAAGTCATAAGTTCAATTAATAGCAATAACAATAATAGAAATCCACCCAGTTACTAATTATGAAATAAACATAAGTTAGATTGATTGACTGATTGAAATTAGAAATGTAAACCATTGCATAACAACTCAATTAGTCGTATACTCTTGAATTCATAAATTCATAACTTGGTTAGAACATAGATATACATTGTCAAAGAATCACAAGTGATTGACCATACGGGGTGGTGATCAATGTTATTCATGTCAGATCCTTCTTAGTACAGATCGAATCTTATCGACCACGTTACAATGTAGCCACTAATCTAGGTGAATCGACATTGTGTGCACTATATTGAGATAAAATTATGGTTAACCAGATCATCTTGATCTTCAGTGTTTATTTAACTGAAACTAATCGGTGATGTTGAGTGGCCTATGCTCCTTCACGAGGAATAACAGGCGTAAGTAAGTAATCGGTGATGTTAGCGTCAAATAACTTTAATAGAATAATGAATAACATAGAGTCAATAGAACTGAAAATAATGAAAACCATTAAACAGTGAATGTAGACAACTGGATCCTGACTCATTAATCAAAATCCATAACAAAGAACCAAATTCTTATACAATAAAGACTGGTAGAACTCAGTAACTATGTAAATTGATGATATATAAGTGGCGATAGTTGGTAGGAAATCCTGACTAACCTAGATTTAGTTGCGGTCGAATTACGTCATCAAGACACACCTGAGGTTTTCATGGAAGTGACTCTCCTTGATGGATTCGAACCCGAGTCACACGATCTCATACTCCAAGACATTACCAAAGCGCTACCCAGACCACAATTTACCTCTTATAGAATTCAGATATTTACATCTAGTTTATTTGTCACAAATGGAACAAAACGGTCGTTTCGAATCCCACTACCAACCACAAACCAATATTAATAAAACAATACATTATACATAATCAACAGTTTGGAGTCGTTAAGTTAGATTCATTCATGATGATTTGTGTGAGAGTAATTTAGTTCTATGAGTCCTTTATACAGTGAATATAGACTATATTGAAATTGTGATGAACTGTAATCAGGAGTAGCATAGAGACAGAAACTAATCAGTCGGAGAGTAAAAGTCTACAGAGATGAGAGAAGAAAAGTATGAAGAGCAAGATTACGAGATTAAGATCATGCTAGAAGAAGAGTTCATACTAATTTATTTTGGATACAGTATACCACATGTTTTGTTAGTGTCTCAGCAATGCTTAGAAGATGGAATATAACTGCCATTTGATAGCTTTCTGTCTGCCTTGTAGATGAATTCAAATGCAGAATGACCTGTATTCACAAGGTGCTTTTATGAAGCCATTTCGCTCTCATTTTTATACAAGCCAGGTAATGTTCTAAAATTCTTTTGGATTATATGCTCATCTAATGACTTATATACCTGGCTCCACATGAACAGGTAATTGATAAATGCACATAGAATTGGTCAAATGAGATCATCTACTCTTAAGATTATTGGCGAACAATGATCAGCTGGAGATTACTAATCTCGAAGTTACTGCGACGAACGTTCTATTGAGAGAGTCGGAAAATATCCTCTTCAAGATGATTGTAGCTATATCACCATAGAAATCGATTATCATCTAAGGAGTTTTCTTCAATACGGAGGTTACCTGTGCTTTGTGCAGTTTAAGTTTTATATTCTTGTCATTAAATAACAAAGTGTACCCGTTTTCGATAAGTAATTTTTTAAGCAGGCTCAATTCGTTATCTATATCCTATGGATTACAAATTCTAGGTATCCGAATGGTGAACCATATAATTAAGTTTCACTTCGGACTAATGAGGAGCCAGGTGTAAAAAAGTAGAGGCTGGCCGTCCTCCAAGAGTTTCCTATAGATGAATCTTCTCAGAGTTCTATTATGTTTTCTTGTCATTTCAACATCAAGAAAGTGAGAACTCTGTTCATTCATTCAAAGCATAAAACGTTACAAATGTATTATTTGAGCCTGTTGGGAAGATCTCGAAAAATAAAACCCAAAAACAAGGCTCTGAATACGTTTAAAAGTATCTCATCCAATCAGCATTCAACAAAACCTTTACCAGAACCATCTAGAAAGTGATAAGTCACATGTCATGTATTTGACTGAATGATTACTTATACTGCTACTATGTTTAGTAGTGTTCTAGAATCATCTTGAAGTAAAAACTCATCTAAAATGTTATAAATACCCTAGATATTTTGTACATAAACAAACCTTTGGAGTAAAGCATTTTCTTCCATATTTCACGTCTTTTCTCTCGTTTTTAAGTCGCGGTGAAGACTTAGCCTAAGGGTTATTA